ATGCCCACCCTAACTTTTGTGGCAAAGCAGCTTTAACCACAGCATCATAACAGACATTTTTTCATCTAATTGTGCTTCTGATTAAAATCGGTGGTGAGGCAATAATGGGGATTAATATGAAATCCAAACCAAAAGTGTGGTTTTAGTGTTGTAATAAATGACACTGGGCTTTGAGACTATCTCTTGGCTCCTTTATAGACTTCTCTCTACAGTCTAGGACATGCACTTAGTGTGTGTTTAAATATTAATCCATCTCTAAGCTATGCTCACTGAACAGGTAGCTATCTATCACAGATGATTTAGAATTGATTAAAATATACTGTCATTTCTTTAATGATATTTCAAATATTCTGAAAGGTAATTTATTTTGTGGTAGAGTAGTCCCAACTCCTGCAAATATGACTAACGATGTATATGACGAGTCACTAAACCCAGCGAGACTACTGCACACGCATTGTTACTCTTATGTTCATTTTTAGCAGCCTAGCGTTTTGGATGAGAAAAATCCTCCAAAACGGACACATAGATTTCATCATCTGTTGCAAACTCTTCTGTTTAAAACATGCTGAGAGGATGAGGCATTGTACGAAATCGCTTGCATCATGTACAGATCGTGGTAGCAGCTGGGAATTCTTCCATTCCTCCTTCCAGCTATTTTCTTCTGCTGTCCCAAACAAGCAAGTTTGTGACTCTCATTTTTTGTACAGATTGGTTAACTATTTTAAAAATGCTTATGGGAAGAAAAGTCTACATTTGTAAGGTGCTCAGAGATGAGCATGGGTGTAAACTATGCCATCCAAAGGAAAAAAAGAAAATCAGGACTCACCTTTCTTGTGGGCATCTTGAGCTTAAGAAATTCTGCCTCTCGACACAATACATTCCACGGTGCGTGTATTTTTACAAATCCAACCCCATGGATTTTAGTCTTAAAAAAAAAGCAAGAGAAAAGGTTACTGATGAGAGGAAATTAAGTATTTTTCTCCTCGTGTTTCATACACATTTAAGGAACAGTATTACCGCCAACACGCTAAATCTCATTTGAGACAGCTAGTTTCTAACAACAGGACAATCACTGAACACCTCTCTGTGCCGAGCTGCTATAGAATGGGACTCAGAAATGCTATTGTCTTCCAGAACAATTACCACATGGTTAAATAGATAAAAATTCTGTGAGAAATAAAAGCTAATGGACACAAATACAGAGTAAGCCAGTTATTTGAAGCATAGGCATCCAGTCCAATGGTACGATTTTGTGAGTGCATTGTAATTAATGGAGCTGAGAAAGTCCCTGCTGCCTCCTAAAAGCTGCTCAGCATCTCGAAGGACCAGAACTGCAGTAAGAAAGCAGCAGCCTCAGATACAGATGTGAATATCTACATTAAAACGCTACACATTTTAATTAGGAAAACTGCAAGGAAGAATTCAACAAAGGAAAAAAAAATTAAAAAGGTTAACGATAATATTAGTGGTGTGCTTGTATCCCACTAGTTCTCTGAGCTCTGTTCTGGATGGCCGGACGTGGGGGTTTGCCTCTGGCACTCCCACACACACCCGTATTTACTCCCATGGGAGTAATAATTTCAAAAGCCATCGGACAAATGATCTCAACCTAGCAGGCGTTCAGCAAGAAGAGAAAGAAACTGTAGTGAATCTTTCTCATCTTGCTGCTGTATCAGCTCAGGCAGTTATTATAATAACTAGCTTTCGCACAGCCATATTCCACACTGGCTTTCTAGAAATCGGTTACGCGGAGGACACAAATACCTGCCAGCCTTCCCATAAGGCTGGGCTTCTGAACCACCTTTGAATTTACTTCACTGAAGAGAGTTCAAGTGACCTCGTAAGCATCGCCTGCTGAGGAAAGCTTTGCTCTTTTTGCAGCTCGCAAGGCCTCCAACACAACTTCGTGGCGTGCTGTTCAAGCCCAAGCGGTTGCAGGTTCTCGCCCTACACTGCTGCGCTGGGTATGGACGCTGATGTAAACCCCCGTGGCTTGCTTTCACCTCTACACATTCCTGAGCTGGTTTGGTATCGTGTGCTGAAGGGACAGGATTCTCTCTCTTTTACAGTGCCCTGGCCTGAGCCCTGAGCCCTTCCGCACCATTTGGAATCATGTCCTAGGTGGGGACCTCCCATCTCGCGAAGGATTTAAGTATCTATGACTTGGCACAGGCAAGCATCCAGTTCACTAAAATAACTTGCAAGTTGGATGGAAAGCAAGTCTTATCTTCACCTGGGGGACAGAGAAGTGAGAGGTTTTTTTGCGTTATACCATGCCAAATACGTATATTTATATATGTAAAATTATGCACATGCCTGTAATTTGTGAATAATAGGTGGCAGATTTATTGTTTTAACGCTCTGATCACAGTTCTAGGTGCTTAATCTCAACTTTTAGATCCTGTAAATAAAACCAGCTTAAGTGTTTAGCCTCTCTCACAGGAGTTTCAGGCACATTGGTTGGATCAGTTAATTGTAATAGCTTTCTTTGAAATTAATACGGCTGTGCCTATTTCTACTAATCACACACTGGCAGTACTTCACACACATCATTTTTAATATAGTCTAATGGTCTTTTAATAGAATATACTGTTTTCAGGGTACAGGTGAAAGGCGTTACAAGCTGTACTGTTCATATCTAAGAATGGAAAGAGCAAACTGTAATACAGACCCACGCGCTCGAGCTAGAGCATGTACCAGGACCTCCTGAACAAATCTAATTCTCTTGAAGTCTACACTGAGATATAAAAATGCCACTGTCTGTATCGGGTATTTTTAATCAGAACTGGAGTTACCGGTGGATCCAAACCACAGCATACTGTAAACCCACCAAACTGAGATTAGTGTTCAGAGCAATTTAAGCCTCACTTCTACATACAGCAACACATCAACAAGCTGTGTTGCAATAGTGGATGTGCCATGAGTCCTGGCCAAGAAAAGTAAGAAACTTCACCTCGTTGGGGCATTAACAACACCACGGCCCGTTCCTGTGAAGCAAATTAAATTGGTGGGCAAGAATGGCGCTGCCAGAACCGAAATCAAGTTCTGGGAAGAGTTGAGCTTGTGTAACCTTGATCAGAGCCAGGTTCACAGGAACAGCTCAGCATCTCCCAGGATTCAATCACCAGTTATCCCCTTATCTTTAACCATTTGAAACGTCTCCTTACATCCTCATCACGTTCCAGTTCCAGACCAGCCTCCACGAGGTTCCCTTCGTACTCCTCCCGGCGAAACCTCTTGTCGTCTTCGTGGTAATCCACATGAGGTTCGCTTTCCCCCATTTCCAGCTGCACTCCCTTCCCAGGAAGCGGCTGGTCTTGCTTGGCGCTTCGGGCACTTGCGTCATTATGATGAACTCTCCTGGCGAGTGTCCTCCCTGCTGAGGACTTCTTGTAATGATAAACTAGGATGTAGTCTACTTTTCTCTTGCCATCTCTGAAGTAGAGTCCATATTTGCAGTCAGCATCTGGATTTTTGGATAGGGAATTTAATAACTGGAAGCAGGGAACGGGGGTGTGGAGAGAAGGAGAAGAACGATGAGTACACACACCAACACAGACACCAGACAGACCATATCCCTGCACCAGGGGCTGCTTCTTGCCTGGAGCGCACCCATCTTCAAACACCACGCATACGGGAGGAGCCCCTCCATGCTACTGGCTCAAAACAATTTTGCAAGTTAACACCTGCAATTTTACTGATAGCCAGCTGGGATTTCATTGGCCAGAAATAAACAGCTAAAATGACTGGGCTTTAATCTAATTACCAGCACACTAGCTCGTAAATCAGCAACTTGGTGGATTTGGTTTTCTCCTTTGGGGGTTAATCACCACTAAGATCATCTGTCCTTTTCCACCCAAGACATCTGTGTTTCAATTCTGACAAATAGATTAATATCATGTGCAAACATTTCTCACTTCTCTTATCTATCGTTGCAAGTTTGTATCATCTGAGAAAGAGATCATCTTAGATACAGACTGAAGGGAGCCAGCTGGTCATGAAGCGCGGCCAAAAAACACAGATGGACCGTGGCCAGGGAAGTGGGTTCACTGCTTACTGAGTTCATCACTTTTTTTCTCCCCGCTTATAAAACCCGTCGCTTTGCAATCTGATGGTGGCAAAGGCTTTATTCCCATCTTGAATTAACGCTGTGTAAGTGTTGCAAGAGGCAAGAAATGTAAGTCTTAAAAAAACAATACCATTTCCAAGCATTTATCTGAAAAACTGCACGGGGCAACTGCAGAAACATACAGAAGTGCTAACAATTGCTCGTTTCTACTTTCAGTAGCACTTTTCGTGCATAATTCACAATTCTACCCTTGGAGATGCACAGACCGTTCTAAAAAAATGAAAATTCACTGGTAACTTGTATTTGTTTCTACAAAAATTACCGATCTCAGGACTGGCTTTTCAGGGACTAGGGTAATTTTCTGGCTTTTAAATTTACAGAAGAATGTTAAGCCTCCACAGAGGGAAAAGGACTTGTGCTCCAAATGATAGCAATTGGCCATCAGTCGCAAATCATATCGGTCAAAACCTGTTTGGGATGTGTAGACCCTCTGCTTGTTTCATACATCAAACCATGAATGTAAGTTATTTGCAAACAGTGGTTTCTAAGACAGCCCAATTTTTAACCCCCAGATGAATAGAGCAACCTCTGAGTACAGTCTATCACAGCCAATATAGCCAAAACTCCACTGAAAGCCACCCAGCGTTACACAAATTTGCGTACTTCTCTGAGCGTTGCTTTGGGGAGAGTAGGTCCCGGCTACTTAAATGCCTTTAAGGGACAGTCTGTTCTTCCCTTTTTGCCTCAGGGAGACTTTTACTCAGACAACAAATTCCAGCAGCAAACCCTGTCTTCTTGGGTTTGGAGGGAGGAGGAAGCGCACTGAAGAAGTAATTAGACAAGCGTAATCAGATGAGGGCATAGCAGTAACACACAGCAAGGAGGACTGGCAGACAGCAAGAAGCCCGAGATGCCAGGCAGGACGTGGAGCAGCCGTCTGCCGAGGTGGGGGTGCTGGAACATTCATTGCTTTCCAAAGCCTGACTTGACCACGTCCACCCAGGGCCAGCTTGGCTGCAGGTCCCCATCTCCTCAGTCCCGCGCAGCTGTGCTCCATGCCGGCCTTTGCTATCCATTTCTCTCTCTTCTTTCAGGATCACATCTCTCTTTTCCATTTAACCTAAACCCTTTGCTCCAAATATATAAGTATGTAATAAAACAATACAGCATCTGCTGCCACCATGGAGTCCACTCTTTGTCCTATTCCCTCTTCTCCCCTGCTCCACGTCTGTGTTATTTAGCCATGACAATAACACATTCTTCAGGGCACAGGCTGCTCATGTTTGTGCCCTGCCTAGATATTCCTGTTTAGTTCTTAAGCATAACTACAATATAGAAGACCATTAACAACTCGTACTTTTTGATTGCTTCGTGTTTAGTGGCATGCACCTGTGAATTCAGAACATCTTCTTAAAAGCAAGCTGGCAGTCTGCTTGTGGCAGGCAACTCAGTTATGCAAATTTCTATAGAAACAAAATATTAAGAAATAGCAACTGGATTTTCAGGATATAATGCCTCTTCAAACTAAACAGTGGTTGTAAACAAGGTACAGGAACACTGTGATTTCTTTTACGATAGCTAATTGCATTTAATTTTTAGAGATGTGTTTATCTTATCAATTAATGAAACGTCAATTTCTGAAAAACTGGACTGAACTGATAGATGTTCAAGTAAGTGCAGGGAGATAAAACAGACAAAAGACTCGGATGCCAACCACTTCCTACCCTCGTTGGACTGACTTTATGAGGGACAGCAATTAGTTGGTCTGTTCTGGAGGCTTATAAATAAAGGAATCGGGCGGGGCTGAAGATGGCTCTTGAAGATGACAGCAGCGAGTGCGCCGGATGTTTCTAACTGCTTGGGAAGCCCAGGAGAGATCAGTACAACCTAGCCACAGCTCCTCTTCTCCTGGAGAACGCCTTGGGTGGAGGAAAGCGGCACTGAAAATCCCTAGTTTCTCTGTTCCTCTGAGCCACTGCCACCGGGAAGGGGACAGGTCGCACTGGAGAAACTGAATGAGAACTTCTTCCCATTTCTTTGAACTTTCCTGTTGAAAAGCTGACTCTGATAATTTAGGAGAAGGTGCTGCACCGTGGGTACTACAGCCTCAATAAATCTATTAATACGTGAGAATAGCTATATCCGACTGTGAAAGTGATGCAGCCAAAGACTCAAAGCCACCTGTTGGTTCTGGTTTAAAGAAAGAAATAGATTCTTTTAAGGATGTGGTATTAACGCTGACAGGTACTTATAGGCCACATCCTTTCTCGCAGCGCTGCTACGCCGAAACAGAGCGCGAGCTGCGTTGACTTGGACCATGTAAGGCTCACGTCCCTTCGGTTGCAAATGGGACACAAAAAAGACGCTTCCGTTTTACCACGGCAGGAGGGATGTTTACACTCTGACAGAATTATTCCTGCACGCTCCGTCCTAATTAAGCACAAGAGCAATGAATCAAGTATTGCTTTTTCTGGTACGTTTTTCCCCAGTGAGATCTGTTATATAGCCCATTCCACCTCAATTCCTTGACCTGAATAAACTCCTTTTTATGTGTTTATGACATAACCAACTCCTAATCCTGTTGGGTATTCATATTACTAACTTTCTTTAAAAATCAGTGTTAAAGAATTTAACCAAGGCACAATTAATTACACTGGAAATCTAACCTCTATGGTGTGCTACAGAATATTAATGTTGCCTATGTTAACAATAGCTTTTGCATTACATTTTAGACATTTTTTTTCTGTTCTACTCTATATGAGCAAAGAGATTTGAGAGTTGCCACAGCCTCATTGCCAGATTGATTACTCTGAGAACAGCCAACCCCTTTTAATGCTACAGGCTAAAGAAGGACCTCTTGCTTCCCTTCTTCACATCAAAGAACAAACCCCACTAAATTAGTGTCTACTGTGGCTGGTGACAATCCTCCTCAGCACCTCTGAGAAAGGGAGGGAGAGGATTTCAGAGCATCCTGGGAATGGAAAGAGGGAGAAATAAGCTAAGGGGTAAAGCATAGTACGCCAGTTATGACACATCTGGCAAGTCCTCTACTCACTGTACTCTCATGCTGGTCATATCCTATATCCTCAATAGCTCGGATGTTGATAATGTGGATCCCCTTCTCCTCAGCAGGTAGACATGAGTATTTCTTGTTCACCCTCATTCCTGTCTCCTCCCGAGCCTCGTTGAGATCTTCTGGCAGAAAGTCCACCCCATGAAACTCACTGTCTGTGTCTGAAAAGAAAAGGAACAATTTCATCAAGACACTTTAATCTCAACACTTGCTCCTCCCAGAGCCACCCAAGCTGAAACGTATCCTGTTCCTGCCTTCTTCTGCCAATGAGCCCTTGTACAGGGCTCCCACCCTCCTCCGTGCCTCCCTTCTCAGCTTTCCCGCAGCCCTCTTCAGCCCTACCTAGGTCTCCTCCTCCCCCAAAGCAGGGCTCAGTTAACTTCTTTTCTGCACTGCTGTCTCAGGACGTGTTTACTGTATGGTGTCACAGAATGATATTTCTTGTCAAGAGAAGGAAAAAAGGGGGGGGAGAGAAAAAGAGTCTGAGAATTAGCTGGTGACGATTAGGTGGCATGTTGTTTTCCCCTTTTCAGTAGGCATTTTCTCCTTCAACAAGCACTTTTTTATGCTGAAAGACGAAGTAGTGGGTTTCCTCTCAAGTACCTATGTACTGCATCTGATTTACTGAACCATTCTTATTTAAGTAGTCTTGAAAATCTGAGGTTCTCTCCCTCATAGCCTGCCAGACGTGTACTGTTTCCACTTACTGTTTAAGTAATATAAATGGGCTAAAGGATTTAATGTAAAAATTTCACTACAAAGTCAGCAACCAGATAACTGGTAAAATGCAAACTAGTGTTTGCATATGTGCATTAATGCAAGCAATAGAAGGCAAGTTTTCCAAGATTGGATTCATTTTGACATTGAAGTAAAATACTGCAGCATTATGCCTTTTTTAAACTACACAGGAGCAGGATTTGTTTCTCAAAAGAGTGAAGGTAAAGCAAGAACTTTAGAATTTAGCCTTGAGTAGATACTGAATTAACTCTCCCAAGAAAACAAACAACAAAAACATGCAGAGGAACTCGCTCTAATAGCAGCTATATTACAACAGTCTGTTGCTGCAACTAGTTCAACACTCTGTCTCTAGAGCAGATAGCAGCAGATAGCAGGAGAAATTGGACAGAATTAACCTGTTAGAAAAATGCTTCCCTCCTACCTAGAGCTGCCACTAAGCTTATGATGAGGTGAGGGTAGATACCACATTTTAATTAGCTACGTCTTAGCCTAAGAGCATGTTATTCCTCTTCACCAAACTACGCATCTGGATTTAGTTGAAATTCAGGGATGATGTGGAAGGAAGAGACAGGGAAAATCTCATTCCCCAACAAGTTTGCAGATGATGTGAGAAGCATGGTTGATAAGCTGGAGGGTAAGGCTGCCACTTCAAGGGGTCTTGACAGGGTGGAAAAATGGGCTGAGAACAGCCTCATGAAACTCCACAAAGTCAAATATGAAGTCCTGCACTTGATCAGACTACTCTCAAGCACAAGCACAAACTGGACATGGACGACATAGAAAGTAGCTCTGCGGAAAAGGACCTGAGGGTCCTGGTGGACGAGTTCAAAGTGAGTGATCGTCTTGAGTGGTGAAGGATAGCGGCACACTGGACTCCGTTAGTAAGAAAGCAAAGACAACAGTGTTAGGGAAGTTTCTCCTTTATTTGACACTTGTAGACCACAGCTAAAGTGCTGTGCCCAGTTTTGGCTCCCCAGCACAAGAAGGACATTGACAAACTTGAGCAAGTCCAATGAAGGACCATCAAGATGATCAGGGGACTCGAGTGCACAAGGAGAGGCTGAGAGACCTATGATTATGCAGCCTGAAGAAGACAAGGCAAACCCCCAGATTGGGTCCCATTCCTGCCTTCAACTACTTACTGAGTAGGTACAGACATGGCAGAACCAGATTCTTCCCATAGGTGCACAGCAAAAGGATGAGCGGCTACAGACACAAGTTGCAACAAAGGAAATTATGAGCAGACATTAAAAAAATCTTAATTCTTTAACAATGAGGGTGATCACATGATGGGGAAAGGGCCCAGTGAAGGTACAAATCTCCATCCATCCATGGAGATGGTCAGAGCTAGACCATGCACGGCCCCAGGCAACCTGACCCAACTTTACTGTTGAGAGGGCACTACATGATCCTGCAATCCAGGTTCTTCATGGTGACATGCAGGACTTAGCATGGACAACAACCTGCAACAGCAGAGAAGGAAGGTGTGGCCAAAGACTTGGCACATTTCTTGAGCTTGTCAGAGTAAGACAAACATTTTTAGTATGAAACTCATGCTTCTCTGGAATTAGTAATCACGCTTCTCTGGAATTTGCAAACATCAAGAGTTTGTGGATCTTCATTTCAGTTCCTGTATCTGGGAAATTTGCTGCCCCAAGCGGCTCTCTACAAGCTGCCCACTTTCCTAGGAACTGCAGTGCTCATTAACACCATCACCCTTGCATAAAATCCGGGCAGCAATTATCCTTACATATTTCATGCGCGCAGCACGTAATGCCCACATCTCTGTGCTGCTGTTCGTGGCTTTTTTTTTTTTTAATTCCTGAATAGCTCTCTCAGAAAAGATGCCACGCTTGCAATCTTGGGGCAGCATCCTCAAGCTCAGTAAATCACTTGAATAACAGTTTGTAATTGTTAAAGAAGCTTTTTGCGGGGTAATATAGAGATGCAGCAAAAAAGTCAGCTGTCTCATGGGAGCGACTAGCATGTTTGTGACCATTCCCTACACAGGC